CAGGTGATCGAAATCCTCCGGCGCTGTGACGACCGAGGAATCACGCTGAACCCGCTGAAGTTCAAGTTCGCCCAGAATGAGGTCAAATTCTGCGGCTACAAGATCACCCCGGCCGGCTACACCACCGACAATGAAAAGGCGCGCGCCATCGCTGATTTCCCGAGACCGGAGAACGTCACCGACCTGCGGTCCTTCATGGGTCTGGTGAATCAGCTGAGCGGCCTCACACCGGAGCTGGCTGGCTCGACTCAGGCCTTCAGAGACCTCCTCAAGTCGCGCCGGGTCTGGCGCTGGACTGAGCAGCACGAGGCAGCGTTTCTGCACACCAAGATTGTGCTGTCGTCACCGCCGGTGATGGCATTCTTCGACCCCCAGCTGCCGACCGTGCTACAGACGGACGCTGCTAAAACCCGAGGACTGGGTTTTGCAGTGCTCCAGAGGCACGGAGAGGACTGGCGTGTGGTCCAGTATGGTTCACGGTTCCTGACCGATACCGAGAGCCGATATGCTGTAATCGAGCTGGAGCTGGCTGCTGTACTCTGGGCCTGCAAGAAGTGCCATGTCTACCTGGCTGGCATGCCCCACTTCGACCTGGTGGTCGACCACCGACCGCTGGTGACCATCCTAAACTACAAGCAGCTCAACTCGATCGACAACCCGCGTCTGCAGCGGATGAGAGAGAAGTTGTTGGCCTTCAGCTTCACCACCAGCTGGCAGAAGGGATCGAGTCACGTGATCCCAGACGCGCTCTCGCGAGCGCCCACCAGCGACCCCGCCGCTGATGACGACGGAGCGGTGGACACCGAGGACGACCCGCTGCACGCCAGCGTCATTGCCGCGCTGCAGGCCTCCGCTCGATCGGAGGAGGGCGCCCAGCTGGCTCCGCTGGTCGACTCCACACTGGAGAGAGTCCGCGCCGCCGCGGAGCGCGACACCGAGTACCAGACTCTCAGCGAGCTGATCCTGGCCGGATTCCCAGAGAACCGGCACGAGACGCCCCCTGCAGTACGAGCGTACTGGGGCGTGCGCCATCAGCTGGCCATCGACGACGGACTGGTGGTCTACGGCGCTCGACTGGTCATCCCGTCCGCCCTCCGACGCGGTGTGCTGGAGAAACTCCACGAGTCACACCAGGGCGTTGATAGGACCAAGCGCCGTGCTCGGCTCAGTGTGTACTGGCCGGGCATCGACAAGCAGATTGCTGACACTGTCGCCGCCTGCGCTCAGTGCCGTCAGCGCCTGCCCAGCCACGCCCGGGAGCCGATGTGGCAGGAGGACGGCGCACCGACACGCGTCTTCGAGTCGGTCTCGGCCGACTACTTCTCCGCTGGAGGACGCACGTACCTGGTGTATGTGGACCGCCTGTCCGGGTGGCCGTACGTCACTGTGTGTCCCCGCACCGCCTCGGCGGACCATCTGACGCGGCAGCTCCGACTGATGTTCTCGCAGACGGGCGTCCCGACCGTGTTCCGGTCAGACGGCGGACCCCAGTTTGCATCAGGCACGCTCCGCCGGTTCCTCCAGCGCTGGGACGTACGGCATGAGATGTCGTCACCGCACTACCCGCGCGCTAACGGGCACGCGGAGGCCTGCGTGAAGACAGCGAAGAAGCTGGTGCTGGCTGCGTCCTCATCGGGCCGGCTCGACCAGGACCAACTGGACCGAAGTCTGCTCGAACTCCGTAACACGCCCCGAGCAGACGGACGGTCGCCGGCACAGGTGCTGTTTGGTCACCCGCTTCGCTCTGGTGTTCCCACGCACCACCGCGCCTTCGCTCCTGAGTGGCAGCGAGCAGCCGCTGTCTGTGAAGAAAAGGCTGCCGAGCTCCAGGAGCAGGTGGTCAGACGCTACGACGAGAGCACGCGCCGGCTGTCACCGCTCAAGATCGGCAGCCGGGTCGACCTTCAAGACCCCGCCACCGGCCGATGGAACCGGATCGGAGTGATCGTGGGCGTCGGTCAGAGGCGCACGTACCTCGTCAAGACCGCCAGTGGCAGGGTCCTGTGGCGGAACCGCCGCTACCTGCGCCCATACCGGCCCCTTCTGACAGAGCCCACCCCGCCTGTGGCTCCGTCCGCCCCGCGCGCGCCCCAGCGGCCGCCGCCGCCGCCGCCAGAGAGCACCGCGGTCGCCGCCGAGCGGGCGGTCCGACCCGCTGCTAGTGCGCCGGTTGTGTGCCGCTCGCCGCCGGTGCGGTCACCCGAGGTGGAGACGGCCGCCGCCGCTCTCCCGCGTCGTTCTCGACGGCAGCGCCGCGCTCCTGGTCGGCTCCGAGTTCAATGGGGTGCGACCTCGTATGAGGAGTGATTGTGAGACAACGTCGTGGAGTGTTGTGTTTTTGTGTGTTTTTGACGACTGTTGTCTCGAGGGGGGATGTTGTGTTCGGGTATAGGGGGTGTAGACTTGGACCGCCTCTGCGGCCCCACCTCTGTGTGCCTGGGAGCGCCCCTGCCGGCGCTCAGCTGTCCGTGCGCGCCAAGCGGCGTGAGTGGCGCACGGGACGAAAACTGACGCTCGCCATACTTGTTTAGTTTTTGGAAGACTCTCTCGGCCCATTCGCACCGGCAGTAAATAAATCGCGTTTCTCTTAAGCTCTCTCTCACTCGAACCGTGAATTACGAACATAACAGGAGCCACCCCCTCAACCTGCTCCTTCACGTCGGGGCCCATTGCCGCAGTCTCCGCTCCCGAGTGTGCCCCGGATCCAGCAGCTTCGCAAGCTGACAGCGCGGGGCTGGGGACTAGAGGAACGACAGCTCTGCGCTGTAGCGTCTGGATACGTCCGTGGAGTGCTGGTGCACGCGGCCGCCACCTGGCTCCTGGTGACGCCACAATCCCACGTGGAACTTCTCCAGAGGGAGATGCAGGCGGTTACCCGTATATCACCGGCTGCCCCTTGTTTACCCCAGCCCACGCAGTGATGGCGGAGGCCGAACTGATGCCGGTGCCCGCTGGCCGCCCGGCGAGACGTGCTGGTAGCGAAGCTCTTCGCCAAGGCGCACGCGCTCCCCGAGGGCAAGCCCTCAGGACTATCGCGGAAGATGGGCCGCCCAGCCGACTGAAGTCGGTGACGGGCTGGCGTGGGGTGGGGCACGAAACCTGGCGAGCGGCTGGGATCGCCCTGCTGCTCGACCCCCTGGTTGCATGCCAGCGCGCCGCCGTGGGAGGTGGCCGCCTTCCCAGACTTCACCTTCAGGCTGGACATCGGGACACTGCAGCGCGACGCCTCGGCTGATGAACTACACCTGGCGGCACAGCGACACTTGGCCACCCTCCCCAGCAAGCCATCAGGGTATGAACTGACGCATCGGCGGAAGCGGGAGTCCGCAGCGGAGAAGCCTTCGTGGAGTGTACACGGGTGTGGGAAATGAATGCTAAGTGTATCCAAATTGAAGGCACTGCTCTCGAAGGATATAAATACTGAACAGCTTTGGATTGTTTGTATTCCAAATGTTTACTTTCAGGACGAGTACTCCTTGTCATTCGGTCGTCAACTCCTCTCTCCGACGCCGGCTTAGCGCAGGCACGTATAACCTAAAATTTGGCCGGGGGGGGGGGAGCGGAGGAATCCCGTAGAGAGAGCCTCCTACCTACAGAGGGCCCTCTACCCGAGGAGTCAGAGGTGGTCAGACACAGACACTAGCGGCTATTCACAGGAGGCCCCATGTAGTAAATTGAATGACCCTAGGTGGCAGGCGAGTCGGAGAGCCTTGATTGTCCTGACGTGATTTTTTGGGGATTCCCATGAATTTCGTTCGTCTCCGACGTGATTTTGGCCAACGTGGGCCTTCTGCCAGCATGGGCCCTGAAAACCCCTAGGGGGCCGGGGGAGGCGCACCCCGTCCGTCCCCCTTGGGTACCTACGTCCCCGGTCGGTCCAGCGGCTCCACACGCGCCTACCGACACACAAGAAACTCTTGCCATTATGTTTGCTTCTGACGCAATCATGACAGAATTACGCTCTATTGATATGCATGCTGCCATTGCTTTGGAGTCGGTCTTTTGAATTTCTGCGTTTTTTTTCGGATCGGCTCCACTCTCCAGACAGCTGGCTCAGCCTGATCGACCAGAGCGATGCGACACCTATACCAACTTGATACCAACCTACTTGGCGGGGTGGTGAATTCATGAAATGCGAATGCGAAACATGGCAGTAGATGGCGGAACGAACAGCATGGGGAAGGCTGGAGTGGGACAAGCATTGAGAAATGAAATCCGTCACTTCCCAGATTTCGAACGCATCCTTAGAGTGCATTACTTTTATGTGCTTGCGTTCGGTCTTGGGATTTCTCAGCAGATGTCGCCAACAGCAGAGAGATTGATCTAGAATGTCTCGTTATCGGAAAAGTATGGTAGCTATACGCCAAATGGTTTTTGCGTATAGTTACCATATTACTTCCGATATGACTGTTGACATTACTGCGGATATGACCGAGCAGTGCATTGGCAATATGCCAAGGGCAGTAACATGCCGTCAGTCACGTCAGTCATCGGCCTTGGCTATCTGTAAGAATCTTGGCAGGAATCTTGGCCTTTTCTTGGACCCATAGCGTCGGCCTTCGACCAATCATATCGCCGAATTCGCAGGCAGTGAGAGACAAATACGGCGTGCCGAAGACATATTGGGTGTCTCAAAATCACTGAGAACTCTATAGCTCAAAATTTAAGCCCTGCACTTTTTTAGATCTACCCCGTTGAGTGGCATTTTTGTGAAAATTATGTAAATATATTTATCAGAATAAGGGAGAAGTGTAGGGGCTCTAGTATTAACTGGATTATTTGCCAGCTGGCGCCGTATGGTGGCGCTAGCAGTGCTTCTTACATATTTAGGCTAGATATAAAAGAATAAATATCTACCTATCAATTTTTCATTTAAAGCCATTCAAAATATTTATGTCCAACCTAATACCTAGCTTATATCTATATTTAAATACCTATCGTACGTCGCCAGCTGGCCAGCCAGCTGATGCAATCCAGTTTTTACCGAAGCCCAAGTGTAGGGGGCGGCGGGTGAGGTGCAGAAGAAGAATAAGAAGAAGTTGTACCTATCCAGTAATTTTATCTTGATTTGTGGATTAGACGAAGACTAGATTTTGATAAAGAAATCGACAAACTTGAACTGCAGGTAAGGTGTTGGTTTGTCATGCCGATTGTCTTGAAACCTGTTCCTTTTAAACCTGGGCTCCACCATTTATGCTCCATATGTGAATTAGCCTTGAGGCAGAATAATCCGGCAGGTGGCTATTTTCTGTTTGTAAAACTGGCCTCAGATGGAGTGCTATCATTTGATCAACCATCACATGATCAGGCAGCAACAAAGTTTGTGGTTTTAGAATCTTGAAAAACTTTCTTGGGAGTGGCACTTGGTAGACATCTGTTTGAGATTCTGCTAGAGCAATAGCGTCGTGCTCAAGCCAGCCAAATTTTAGACTGCCAATTGACAAGAAAAAATGCTTGGTTAATCAGATTTCAGCCTATTAGGTAAGGCATCAATAGGCATTTAATTCAATTCTGGTGGTAAAAATCATGGCCATATATTGGCATATCATCAATTTTTAATTTGTTGTGGCACACCTTGTTGTATATTGAGGCTTGAAGATGCTCAAGTAAATATTTTTGATGCGTGTGTTGATGAAGGCTAAAGTCCAATGAAAATAAAAAGCAGAAATTATCCTGACCTTCCCTTCCCTACTAACCTCCAACCTCCAACCTATCAGCCTACAAACCACCGTTCAGACTTCATCTACACGCAGGTTTAACATTTTATGATAAAGTAAAAAATGCTCAGCTTGTAATCCAATGCCTTTCAAAACCAATAGGCCTTTTTGGCCTTGCGAATGGTTAATGGAGAGAGAGAGTTACCTAACTCTATCATGTAAAAGCTGCTTTGAGAAAATAGCACTTTGTTTTATCCTGGCTTCATGACTCTCTAACGCTCTTTCAAACACATGGTTGTTTTCTGACAATTGGTGATACAGAGAGGGTCTGCATTAATGTCCAAGTATGGTCATTTAGGATCAATTTTTGGTGCCCTCGTTTTATATTATTCCAGCACTCCAGCAGCCTTACCCCGCGTTCGATGTCTCTCGGATGACGAAGATTCTACGTCGTCCAGCCAATCCCGTCCAAGGTCAGCTGGGGCTCGGCTGTGGTTATGAAACGTGATTGGCCGGACGGCGTAGAATCTTTGCCGTCCGGGAGACATCGAACGCGGGGTTAGTCTCCCCAACTGACATGCGCTGAATTTGTCGCATGTAACTTAACACCTGACGTGCGCCGAAATTTTAGGTGGAACCCTGCCACTACGCCAAATATAAGTTATGGCATGATCACTGCTCAGTTGCGCAGGTTCACCAGAACAGCGTCATGGGTGCAAAATGACCACCGTAGCGCCCGTAACCCCTAATAAACAAAGAAGCAAACATCAGTTGCGCAGTTAATGCCAATTTTCACAATTTTGATTGTCCATTGATATTGTTTGGTCATTTCAGGACTCGTGGCGCTGCTCGCCTCCTCGCCAATGCGAACGCGTTCTCTGAGGACAACCCACCCAAGGCTAGTATGGCGAAGCCACGCCACCGCGCCGGCTATAGACTCACGGCCTGAAGCGAGTTTGGGCGCGACGGCTGGCGAGCCAAGGCGGCGGAAAGTCGTCTGGCGGAGCTCCCGTCTGAGGCGAGCTTGATCTGGTCAGACAGCTCCGCCACCGATGGTGTGCTAGATGGAGGAGGAGGGGCCACCCCCCCCCCGAACCGCGACATCCGGGAGGTGCGTGTCGCGGCAGGCGCCCTCTGCTCTAGCACGCGCGGCGAGCTATTCGCCCTAAGAGCGGTGTTGGAGGAGCTGTTGACCAAGACTGGTCGCGACACCTCTCTTCCGATAATTATCGTCTGTACCCACTCGATGGCGGCGCTGGCCCTCCTGCGGAGCGGCGCGGCGGCCCAGAGAGCCCCTCTGGCCGCAGACATATGGGGGCTGCTGGCAGCGCTCACCGAGGGGGCCATCCAGTGATAATGCAGTGGGTTCCTGCACACTGCGGGCTTCCGGGCAACGAGCGGATGGACGCCCTCGCGCGCGAGGCTGGCGCCCTATCCCAACGGTAGCGCCGTCCGCCGATCGACTTGGGCAGCACTATCTGCAAGGCAGGCGCGCGCGACGCTGCGCGCGCCTGGCGGCGGAGCTGGCAGGACGGATGACCCTGGCTGCCGCCGTGAGAACCATCCAGAACCGTACGGCTATGCTGCGGCAGCGGCTGAAAGGAACGCAACAACAATAACTACAACAGCAGCTGCTAATGAAAGGGGAAATCATGGAGCCGGATGACCCGGCACATGGCGCTCAGCCAGCTGAGAATGAGAGCAGCTATCAAATCGCCAGCAGGGTGCTGCGGCTGGTAACTGACGACCTTGGTAGAGAGAGCGCCTCCGCTGATGCGGATGAAACTACCCCTCTCGGGTTGTTTGACGCCGTCTCCGTCGACTCTTTCGCCTGGGCCGGCTGGCGACCGCGCTACATTTCTTGTGCAGTGACTCGTAACTGTGTTCACCAAACTTTTAAAACTCCCACGTTAGCATCTTTAAAGAATGTTTTCCTCGTACACTGCTGCAATGTCTTATGTAGGCATGTTGTACAGTCTAAACGAGTGTGGAATGCTTTGTTGTGCTTGTTTTGTATTCGTTTGCTATTTATCACCGGTGAGATAATTTATTTGACCAACCCTTGCCTTGTTACAATTTTAGTGGATGGTTTCTGAACTGCGTTTGCATTATAGATGTTGCTAGTGCGTAGACGCCAAAGATTACTTTATACCTATTGACGCGCCAGCTAAAGGAGGTGAAGTATCCTCTGATCTATACCTACGAATTCCTTTAGTGTGTTTTGTAATCGATATGGC